ACTGAAGTCAACAGGGAGAAAAAATGGAATTAAAAAAACTGACTTATAAAATAAATCAACAAAGAAACATAAAGCAGTTAAGTTAAATAGAAAATAAATGAGATAGTATTTAAACTAAAATATATCAGTAATTGCATTAAATGTAAATAGATAATATACTTTAGCTAAAATTAAAAACTTAAAAACACCATAAATAGAAATAAAGGACAAGTCACAAACTTGAAGGAGACCAATTCAATTCATATATAACCAAATGATTAGTATCCAGAACAAGTGGACTCTCATAAGTCAACAAGAAAGTGCCATGAACCCAACAGAAGAAAGGGTCAGAGTCTGAATGCACATTTCACAGAAAAGAAAATGTGAATAGTAAATAAACATGAAAAGATGCTCAGTCTCACTTGGAATCAGAGATATTCAAATTAATCAGCAGACACCATCAGACTGACATAATGTCTGACAGTACTAAAGGAAAACAACAGGAATTCTTATACAGTGTTGTGGAAGAAACATTAGCTCAACCACTTTGGAAAAAATTGTCATTATTTAACAAAACAAAAGATAGAATAAACCAAAAGTAGCAATTTTACATCTAAGTAAATATTCTAGAGAAAATCTTAATGTATACCAGGAGACATTTACAAGATTATTATACATGGCAGGACTATTTTTAAGAGCACCAAACTAGAAACCACCCACCTGTCCATCAATAGGGTGGATAAACAAATTATACTATATTTATTTAGTGGATATATAGCAGTGAAGATAAATTAATTATAGCCATGTTCTACAAGGAAAAAACTCTCAGGAATATAATATGGAGTGAAAAAAACTGAAGAATACATTCTACATATTCCATTTACTTGAAGTTCAAAAATGAACAAATCTAAATAATGTATTATGTAAGGATACAAACATATATTATAAGCCTATAAAGAAAAGTAAGGCAGGGGGCGCTGGATAGCGCAGTCCATTAAGTGTCCAACTTCGGCTCGTGTCATGATCTCATGGTTCATGAGTTCAAGTCCCGTGTCAGGCTCTATGCTGACAGCTTGCAGCCTGGAACATGCTCCAATTCCAGTCAAATTCTGTGTCTCCTTTTCTCTCTCTGCCCCTCTCCCACTCTGTGTCTCTCTCTCAAAAATAAATAAACATTAAAGAAAAAAAAGAAGAAAAGTAAGGGAATGATAATCAGGATAAGTTAGCTAGTGTGAGGGACAGGAGGAAAAAGGAAGGAATAGAGGAGGAATATACAGTACAAAGGAGACTCCAAAGGCAATGGCTTTTATTAAAATATAGGCTGAACATGTAACAGTTATAGTGACATGTTATTTAATAATTTTTATATTTCCCATATTCATTTGTATATTTTTAACATTTAATAAAAAACAATATAAAACATGCACTAGTCCTAGTCCTTTTCATTTATCACTGTATATGTACAACACTGAACCTAATTTTTTTTCCAGTGAGAAAAATTATATAATAACCTAAAATATTTTTAAAGAGTTAGTTCCAAAACTATGAAAAATCATTAAAATGTTTCAAAACCAAACTCCTTAAATTATCTTAGATTTTTTATAAGTGGTATTTGCGATACATCATTAAAACCATAACTAATCTAAACGTTGTCAAAATCAATACACAGAAAATTCCAAAGGCACTGTGAAATACTTCGTGCTTTACGACACATAATCCAGTGCTTGGACTAGCGTTTTATCTTCACGTCGATGCCTGTCTGTATGCCTTTAGTGCATAAAAACTTTTCACTGAGCAATAATCATTTTTATAGAACCAAGGGGTCAACATGAGCAAAGGCAAAAAAGCCAGACAAACCTGGCCTGAAGTTCGGGCTGAGACGGGGTACGGGAGAAGATGCTAACTACAGAAGACCTCCCATGCTGTGCAACGGGAATCTCCTTTCAGATTACAGAAGAACTGGTACTGTGATGGCACACGTACAATACCTACTCCCTCGTGTAACACCTCACATTATACACAGAGATCATCAATGAAGGACAAGGCCCCATAGTAGCGGGAGATGCCTATGATGGAGGGAGGTGTGTTCTTGGAAAACCGGTGCCCCACTAACCACCACAGCTTTGCTGAGCACTGCATGAGGTTTTAAGATTGGTCATTAATGATACTGTGTAAGACACATTCAAGGGGACAACGCTGGGGAGAGGGAGACTTCCAAGCAGTTATGGAACTAATCTTGAAATCAAAAAGAAGGGTAGAGTTCGAGAAATCCTGAAACAATAAAAGACTGTTGGGTTTGGCAGTGCGAGATGAGCCAGAAGAAAAAGTCCTCTTCACCATGAGATAATACAGGCACAGTACCTTGGGCTTTCCAGTCTATGAAATGGTGTGAAATATGAAGAGAACAAAAAAAGTTGTGCTCTCAAATACAAAAGGAAAAAATTCAACATTAAAGTTAATTTTAAAAGCAATAACTTTTTTGAAAACCTAAACAATCTTAACACCAAAAACCATATATTTGATATGGGATACAGTGTCTGCTATGATGCGAGGGGAGGGCCTCTGACGGCAGCAGGGCCGGGGCCTACACACAGCTGAAAACAGAGCTAAGAGAAAAGAGAAAAGCGAGGTCTCGGCTGCAGCCCCTGTGGACGGACAAAACCCTAGTGTCACCAGTAATAAAGTGAATACAGATGTTACAGCCTATCTGGGAGTAAAAGTGTGGAGTTCCGTTTTGGACACAAAGAGGTTGAGGTGCCAATGGAGCAGCCTGACTTCAAGGATGTGCTCCTAACTTCAGGGCCTATGGTTAACACAGTAAATGCATAATGAACGTTGACGGCTATAAATTACAAAACTGGTTCCCTAAGAGATCGTGCATTATGTTAAAAAGAAAACAAATTGATGTGAATTGGGACAATCACCATTTGAAATGGGGAGTATCAGACATATCAATATGACTTATTTACATATTCTTCTTAACACTTCCCTGCTGTACATCTAGCTCAAAGCAAGGAAGATCGTATTTTAGCATATAAATTACTCACAATGTATATTCACAAATTCCCTACTCCCACGACTGCCCCTTTCACTCACTATTTCTTTTCCATGTGACAATTTTACGGTCACTTTCAATAACAAAAGGAAGGCTGTGTGTTTCCCCCAGACATATGAATTAAAAACATTCCCAACAATCTATGTTCATCTATTCTCTAATTTCTATTCTAGGATTTCCTGGGCTGGAGTGGATGGGAAGTGATTATAAAATTGCAGTAAGGAGTAGCATGAGAGAGGGTAAGAGGGTGGGAATGAGGCAGAGCTTGGGGGCTCTGGGTGCTACTTTCCTCCACACTAAACCCTTGACCCTAGGGTGTTTACAGATGTCCTTCAGTGAAAACTGAGTGACAGCCACGCTAGAAAATGAGTGGCAATATGGCATAATGGAAAGTACCTGAACTTTGCAATGAGGCAACACCGAGCTCAAATTCAGTTCTGTAACTTACTATGTGATCTCAGGGGGACCTAGGGCAGATGGCAATAAAGGGGAAAGGAAGAGAGTGTTGTGCAGACACCTGTCTCCTCCTCCCCCTTCCCCCCCATCCTTCCTTCTTTGTTATTCTGGTCCATAAATCTTTACATGTACGCTCATTTACCCCAGACACACAGATGACCAGACTATTTGAAAATGGGGTGTTGCAGAATCCTAGAATTACAAAACGTTAGGAGTAGAAAGAGGAAAAAACTGACTTTAGGAAATTCTGTGTGACTTATGCCGAATCAGTTTTTAGTTCATTTAGTGGTAATAAAATAAATATTTGAATTCCCAGCCCAGATTTTTTTCCCCTGTATGCCACAATTTAAACCTGAAAAACAATATAATTAAATAATTGAAAGGGGATTTACACTTTATAATTTGCCATAAAAAGCCGATTTCCATGCCTGCAACAAGCTTTATCCTCCAAGTACACAATTAATCTAGAATTCAGGAGGAAATAATACCGAATTATATCGTTCTTCTTGTCAGAAAGATTAAGTCTTGTGGATGAGAGTAAGAGCAGTCCCTGCTCACTCAAACAGGTATAAGTGATTGGAGAAGGCGTTTGACACATTCATATTAGAGCAACAATATCATCTTTCTGTTCTCTCCTTGTAGCTACCAAAAGAAACTGTCATGTCTTTGACCTTTTGCTTAGGAAGCTTCTGCTTTTAAGTCTTTTCAAAAGAATAGATGAATGAATGAACGAAGACCATGGATAAGTATTCCAAACCTTTGGAGAGGCAGCACTGTAGAGTAAGAGCACAGACTCTGACGCCAGAGTATCTGGGTTCAAGTATCAGCTATACAAATAATTAAACGTATGATCTTGGCCAAGTTATTCAATCACTAGGCCCTCAGTTCTCTCATCTGTAAAGTGGCAGTAGTAACAGAACATAGAGTTGCTGAGAAGATTAAATGAGGGTCAAGGCCTGACATAAGGTAAGCCCAGTGGATAAGCATGCTAGGCTATTGTGTTACTGTTCTGTTTTTATTGCACAGTTAATGGAAATATTAGTTTCTGGGCACTGTACTATAAGGTAAGAACAGCCAAAATACTAGGCAAAGTTTAGTTGACAGGAAAGAGCCAATAGCTCCCAAGAAAAGCAGCTTCAACCAAAAGCCATCCTAAGAGAAATGATATTGGCTTTAATTTTATGAGTTACAAAGGTCTTTTCTTAGTTCCCTTCCTTATTCAAAAAATAGATGGGAGCTGACACAGCAGGACAGACGGGGGAGAACGGGGAAGATGAAACAGAAGAAAGCAGCTACAATAAAAATGCTTTAAAAGTTTTTCAGTTCTTAATTACTGAGTGCTACCATTCATGAGGAATTTTTTAAGGGTCTCAAAGCTATTAAAATGGTAATTAGGTCCCAAGAAAACAAGAACCAATTCAATTACATGCTGGATGCTTTTAAAATTGAAAGCCCTCTATTAAGAGGGTTTTAAATGAAGCACAGTTATAATTACAGGTCCACGACCAACCTTAAAGCCAAAGTGTAGGTCCCTGGCTGACGCTGGCTCTCGCGAATGAGGTAACTCCCCTCAGCTACACTCAAGAGCTGGTCTGCTTCTTCTCGGGAGATCATGCCGTGAAATCTACGAGAAAAGTCAATGCAGAAACTGAATGCTTCCCACCTTTCTCAATAAAGCAAGATAAAACAAAAACCCTCCACCTAGACAAAGTACTGCCAGAGAATCGAAGGGGAGCAGTTGGGTTTAACTCTGCTTCTGTTTCTCTGGGCCTGGCTCCTGGCCAGCTTCTCTGCGGTATGGAGAACCGCACCAAAGTAGTTCTCCAATTCATTTAACAATTGTGAAATCAAAATTCACATCTATCTAAGGGAAGATCAAACCACCTCTCTCAAGAGGACAGTTTCCTTCTTATGTAGCCAGCTGACCATATGGACATACTAGAAAATAGACAAAAATGTGTCCCATTTCCTCCCTTCACACTCGTGGCACTGCTCCAGAATTTTGGCTCACAGTCTATGCTGGCAATCTTCCAGGACCCTGGGTTGCCCTTAATTGGCATGATTGCCCAATAATGTGCATAATCTGCATCACTGGATACTCAAGCCAAAAGCAAACAACAGGAATACTGGCTTTCACTCGCTGCTAAAACCCTATTTTTGATTAACAGGGAAAAAAGCATGAAGAAAAAACATAAATAACACATGCTTTAAACAAAGGCAGTGGATTCATCTATAGCATTCTGACAGGAAACATTGACAAAGAAAGAAACTGGCAGCGATGACTGATAATTAATACTAAAAATCAAAAACCACCTTATATTTGTATGGTGACCTACAATTTACAGAGAACTTACATGTATATTACAGCCTTTCAGTAATTCAAGGATAACTGAATTGAGAAACTGCTCAAGTGAAACTGCGGTTTTTTCTGGTATGAAAGAAACAAAAGTCACTTGATTTTAGAATGATACATTTAAAAGGCCCTGAAATGGCACCTTAATAATTTAGGAACTATACCAGGGGGGTAAGTGCCAAGCTTCTGGAGTCTTTCTCAGGAGACTGGTTCAGTCTTTCTCAATTCAAGTCCTAAAACAGTTCATGATACAAATGTTCAAATCATGACAATCAGAGCAGCCAGGTCTGAAAGCAGACTCCGGGAATTTCTTATTTCCATGCATTCCTCAATCGTTCAGAACTGGGTCCATCAGATACTGCAGGAGGCTAGAAGATGGAATTTATCTCTGCTAGTAACACATACCATTAGATTAGCACACTGGCTTTCTGGTTTACATTTAAATGACATTAATTAATCAAATTAGTAAAATTCAATATTTATTTGTTTTTTAAAACTCAATTAATTTAAAAGAAAATCTCATCAAAGCACACAAATTTTGGAAAAGAACTTGACAACATGGGTATTTAAAGAACTGTAAAACTGTTCATGTCAGCTGAACCAAAATTTCAATCCCCAAAAAAGCTTTATGCACGATGTTTCTGATGGTATTATTTTTAATAATACAGTTTAAAAGCAAACTAAATGCCAGAGGCAGCAAAGTGACTAAACTATGGTATAGCTATAAAAAACAGCAGCGGCTCCCCCCAACTTATGTATCTGTGTTCTATTCACAAAAGTCTTGAAAACTTAAACAGAATTTTGAAAGATATTTAAAATATTTGCTATATACATCACTATTTATCTGATAGGATCTTAAGCCTTGTTATCTGAAGAATGATGGGATTATAGGTGATTTTTACTCCTCTTTCCAAAGGCCTATACTTTTTTATTATAATAATAAAAACTAATAGAATTTTAAAAATTATTGCATTTTTCATAAAAGAGAAAAATGCTCATTATTAATATTAAGTGGAAAATCAGACTATAAAATTATATGTATAATATCCCATTTTTGTAAAACCATTAGGAAAACAGAGCCTCAGAAGGTAACATTTCAAATTATTAACATTAGTTATTTCTGCATAAGTTCATTTGTAGAATATTTAGAAAATAAAAAAAGTGTAAATATACAAAAAAACCACCCCAACCCACTGTATGTACATACGCGTATATCGATATGCTTAATATACATACACACAATCATATATATTTTCCTCATATATATCTACTATTACTTATCTATATGAACAGCATGTTTAACATTTTTCCATGGTATTTTCTTCTCTATGCTTACCTTTATTTTCCCCATTTTCACTAATTAGAATCATTCTATTTGTGGGGCACTTGGGTGGCTCAGTCAGTTAAGCGTCCGACTTCGGCTCAGGTCATGTTCTCATGGTTCATGGGTTCGAGCCCCGCGTCGAGCTCTATGCTGACAGACAGCTTAGAGCCTGGAGCCTGCTTCGGATTCTGTGTCTCCCTCTCTCTCTGACCCTCCCTTGCTCATGCTGTCTCTCTCTCTCTCTCTCTCTCTCAGAAATAAATTTTTTAAAAAAAAATTTTAAAGAAAGAATAATTCTATTTGTAACAAAAAATGAATTTAACTCATGCAAACTTGAATACCTCCTTCATCTTGCTTTTATTTTTACTAGAAGCATTCATTTACCTGCCTCTCTTACACATTCCAATCTATAAAATGTTTTCTCATAATCCATACTTACTCTCTTCCATAATACTTTGGTCTGTTTTCAACCTATTTGGGAAGAAAGAAAAAGATATTTGTGAAAATGCAAATGTCCACAACCTAACTCAACATTGTGTATTTGTGGCAAATTAAGCATATATATGCAAATTAAGCATGTACATGCTTATATATTGCGGAATATTACTCAGCCATAAAAAAGAATGGGATCTTGCCATTTGCAATAATATGGAGATATTATGCAAAGTGAAATAAGTCAGAGAAAGACAAATACCATATGATTTCACTTAGAATCTAAAAAACAAAGTGAACACACTCTTAACTACAGAGATCAAATTTATGGTTGTCAGAGGGGAACAAAAGGGAGGGGAGGGGTGAAATAGATACAGGGGATAAAGAGATGCAAACTTCCAGTTATAAAATAAGTCACAGAGATAACAGGGACTGTAGTCAATACTATTGCAATAAGGCTGTATGGGGACAGATGGCGACTACACTTATTGTGAGCACCGACAAATTTGTTGAATCAATACGTTGTACACCGTACAAACTACTATAACACTGTGTGTCAATTATACTTTAATAATTAAAAAAAGTAAAAAGTAGTGAGCCTGGGTGGCTCAGTTATGCAACTGACTTCGGTTCAGGTCATGATCTCACAGTTCATGAGTTGGAATCCCACATCAGGTGAGGTCTAGCCCCACTCTGGGTGAGCACAAGCCCCAGGTGAGCCCTGCTTCACTCACTCTCTCTCCATCTCTCTCTCTCTCTCTGCCCTTCAGTCACTCATGCTCACTCTCTCTCAAAAAGAAAAAATTAAAAAATTATAAACAGATTAAAAAATTTTTAATAATAAAAAATTAAAAGTGAAAATAAATATATTTACACCAATATACACCAATAGGGGAATAACTAAGCTGATTTATGGTAAATGCACAGCTTAGAGGAATGTGCAGGGACTACACAGGGACTAACATGAAGAAGTCACCAAGACAAACCACTGAATACAAACATAAGTCACGAAAAAATTATACAGTATGACACCATTTAGGAAAAGCACATGTACATGGAATACTTTAATATATATTCATAGAGAGAGATCTGGAAAAATATATACCAAATTCAAATGGTTTCCTTCCAGAAAGGTTGGGTAGGAAATGAACTTATAGGCCCATCAGAAAGGCAAAAGAGAGGCTTTAGAATTACCTGTAATATAATTTTTATTTTTATTTCTTTTTTACATGTTTAAAAAATTTTTTTATTTGAGAGAGAGAGTGAGCGCAAGTGGGGAAGAGGGAGAGAACGAGAGAGAGAGAGAGAATCTTAATACAAGCTCCATGCTCAGCATGGAGCCCAACATGGGGTTCAATCCCATGACCCTGAGATCAAGACCTGAGCCAAAATTAAGAGTCAGATGCTCAACTGACTGAGCCATCTGTAATGTGATTTTTAAATAAAGAATGCATTCATGCATTGCTGATATAGCCGATATCACCTATAAAAAATAGCAACTGAGATTAACTTTTGTGTAACTTAATATTAGAGTCTCAGACACATTAGGATATGTTCCCTCAGTGGGGTCCCTCAAATCATAAGATCTTTGCAGGTGGCTGAAGATTAAAACACTTTATCAGGCCTATGGGAATGAAGTAAAAAGAAAGGAAAGTTCTTGAATACACTCTACTCATTGATGAAAATTCTGGACAAGTACAAAGAAGTGGTGTGGCTGAGGGACCGGTGACTATAAACGGTGTAGCAATCCAATGGTGTTACAACCCAAGAAAAAACAGTGATTATGTCCTGCATTAAATACACAAAAAGCTTCCACTGATTGCCTAAGTAGTCATCTTTGTAACACAAGTGATTAGGTTTTTCATTGAGGAATAACTTTTTTTGCTTTACTCAAAAATTATTTGAATTAAAGGAAATCAGGTAATTTTCTTAAGATGATTAATAAGGTACTGTTAAAATATGCAACAAGCCCAAAATAAAACTGACAAACTAAATGCACCTCTTCTGCATTTCTATAATGGAAATATCAACTAAAACAATTTTAAATGAATTCTTTTTCCCATATCTAGTGAAGGGTTCAGAATATGCCACTTTAGCATACGGATTATTTTGCACTGAAGGCAATTAAGAAACAGCAAACATGTTAGAAACAATCAGTCCACCCCCTTTCCAACTCAAAGCAGGGCATAAATTTCCCTTTGTAAAGGGAGGGATACCTTTACAACAGGGAGAGAAGAACACAATGACTCCAGGAACAACTCTTACCATCTGAGATGACTTGAGTCTGCATAATAAATCTTACCAAACAACCCTTATTTATTAAACATTTCCCAGTCACCTTCCCACAACTCACCCTAACAGGCTCTAAAGCCCAAATCACTTTTCCTGTCTGGTCTCTACAGCACTTTATTATCCTTTATTAAAGGGGTAGATAAGCCTCTTTGAGGTTTCAATTATCTGCTGTGAGCCCCTCCTCCCCTGTGTGCATATGAAACAGCCCTTTTGCCCTGTTTTTGTTTTTGAGAGAGAGTGAGCAGGGAAGGGGCAGAGAGAGATGGAGAGAGAGAGGGAGAGGGAAGGAAAGAAAACATCCCAAGCAGGCACTGTACTGTCAGCACAGAGCACAGAGAGGGGGCTTCATCCCACGCACTCTGAGATTCTGACCTGAGCCAAAATCAAGAGCTGGACCCTCAACTAACTGAGCCCCGCAGCCACCCCAGAACTTTTCTACCGTTAATCTCTCTTTTGTCAGTTTCATGTGTAACCCCCAGACACTGAAGAGGACAAAAGAGTTTTTCATTCCCTACAAAAGCATTTAGATTTTTGCTGATATTTAAGATGTCTGTTACTTAAGTGGTGAGCCGGAAGTCTTTTCAAACTCATGAGATAGCATTACTCTGATACATAATCAAATAAAAAAGTTAATAATATAAGTAATGATAATTAATGATTCCAACTAATTTACTTTCAAGTACATCAAACTAGGAATTTAAATGTTATATGTAATAATAAAAATATATTAATGCTTATACAAACATTTGTATAAGCACACACTTCTAAGTTTTTAAAAAGTAATTTAAAAAATAAGGTTCATAATAGTAGTGGAAGGATTTTTTTATGGACTAAAACTGTCTGATATCAATATGACTAAGTAAGACCTGATTTTAAATTAGTACTTATGTTGAACCTTATGCTTTGCTTTCTCTCATTTTCTATGTTTAGTAGTTAACATCTTTTTCATGATACCGTATCATGGGTAGGAAAAATGGGAAACAAAGGGAACAAAAAGGATTCCAACTAAAAATAAAAGATGTTCATAAAATGCTTTGTAGTTTGGTTGCAGAAACATATGTTATACCGCCAGAGGGAGAAAGTCTTAATCTATCATTACTGAATATGACGCAAAGTGTAAGAATTCCATAAATAGTAGATGCCATTTTATAATATTTTAAATATCAATAGAATTTGTTAAATTAACACTTACTGTAGTTTTGTAACTAATGAATGATTTTTTAATGATTATTTTTTAACATACAGTGTTATATACTATTTTCTTTTCTTTTTTTTTTTTTTTTTAATAATTTGAGAGAGAGAGAAAGAGAAAAAAAGAAAGAGAATCTTAAGCGGGCTCCACACACAGTGTGGAGTGCAATGGAGGACTTGATCCCATGACCCTGGGATCATGACCTGAGCTGAAATCAAGATTCAGATGCTCAACTGACTGAACCACCCAGCCACCGTGAACTATTTTCTTCATACATAAAACATTTTAATCAAATTCACCAATCACACTCTTTCAATTTAAAGAAGTCTTATTTCTTATCTTATTTTCCACAAAAACAAGAAATGCTTGTTTAATGTTTCTTGTTCTCCAAAGGAAATCTGAAAACTGTAGAAATAAACACTAAAAGTATTATAAATGTTAATTCACCCCCTCCTCCCCTACAATGTTACAGACTGACCTTTCAAATTATTATTTTTTCACTAAGGCATCTTCTTCCCATGGCTATAAATCAGAACAGTTGTTCCCCCACCCACAAATTTTTCTAATTTAAATTCAAATTTAAAGAACATGTACTTCTGAAGGCAATGTCACGAGAACAGTGAAGCAGAAAATTTCCAGAATGTTTAATGCTGCTCTTTTCTAACAGTGGTGGTGACCTGGTCAGAAGTCACAGAAAATCATTCTTTCTTACTTGTTTCCACTGTAAAAATAGTACTTGGGGGCAGGTACTTGAAACCTAGTCTGGAAGTCTATGATGCTTATAAAAGTTAGGGTATACACATGTGAAATTGTAAGAAATAATAGAACCCTGGTCAAATATTTACTATTTTTTTTCAGACAGCAGTCTAGACTATATATATATATATATATAAAGGCTACACACAAAGTACAAATGTTTACAAGTGTCAAGATTTTGTTTTGCATTGTTTTTCAAAGTGGCTCAGTTGTTTAGAGACATTAAAGAGGGGAAAAGGGAGAAAAGTACATATTTGGTATTTGGTTCCTACAATGGTAGATTCTGAATTAGTAAGTCAACTCAATACTCAACTCTAACTTTGGATCTATTTTAGTTTCCTGTTTAGTTTCCTATTTAGTTCCCTCCTGTCAGGGAGGAGGAGAGGGAGAAGGAAAGGAGAGGAGGAATTTTACAACTGCCCCAGGACAGTCAAAGACTGGAAATGGAGGGGCACCTGCGTGGCTCAGTCAGTTAAGCATCCAGCTTTGGCTCAGGTCATAATCTCACGGTTCGTGGGTTCAAGCCCTGCATCAGGCTCTGAGCTGATAGCTCAGAGTCTACAGCCTGCTTTCGGATTCTGTGTCTCCCTCCCCACTTTGTCTCTGTCTGTCTCTCTCTCTCTCAATTCTAAACAAACAAACAAACAAATAAGTAACTGGAACTGGATAACCCAGAAAGATGTCCTACATGTAAACAATGCATAGTTTTCCACTGAAGCACAAATGTTTTCACTACATTTTCTAAATTACTAGGGGTTTTTTTTTGGTTTTTTTTTTTTTTTTTTTTTTACTGCACTTT